CAGAATGTTGCTGTCAGTAACTGTCCTACATAATGTTGCTGTCAGTAACTGTCCTACAGAATGTTGCTGTCAGTAACTGTCCTACAGAATGTTGCTGTCAGTAACTGTCTTACAGAATGTTGCTGTCAGTAACTGTCTTACAGAATGTTGCTGTCAGTAACTGTCCTACAGAATGTTGCTTTCAGTAACTGTCTTACAGAATGCTGCTTTAGTAACTGTCTTACACAATGTTGCTTTTAGTAACTGTCTTACAGAATGTTGCTTTCAGTAACTGTCTTACAGAATGTTGCTTTTAGTAACTGTCTTACAGAATGTTGCTTTTAGTAACTGTCTTACGGAATGTTGCTGTCAGTAGCTGTCCTACAGAATGTTGCTGTCAGTAGCTGTCCTACAGAATGTTGCTGTCAGTAACTGCCTTACACAATGATGCTTTCAGTAACTGTCTTACAGAATGTTGCTTTCAGTAACTGTCTTACAGAATGTTGTTGTCAGTAACTGTCTTACAGAATGTTGCTTTCAGTACCTGTCTTACAGAATGTTCTGTCAGTAACTGTCCTACAGAATGTTGCTGTCAGTAACTGTCCTACAGAATGTTGCTGTCAGTAACTGTCTTACAGAATGTTGCTGTCAGTAACTGTCCTACAGAATGTTGCTGTCAGTAACTGTCCTACAGAATGTTGCTGTCAGTAACTGTCCTACAGAATGTTGCTGTCAGTAACTGTCCTACATAATGTTGCTGTCAGTAACTGTCCTACAGAATGTTGCTGTCAGTAACTGTCCTACAGAATGTTGCTGTCAGTAACTGTCTTACAGAATGTTGCTGTCAGTAACTGTCTTACAGAATGTTGCGGCCAGTAACTGTCCTACAGAATGTTGCTTTTAGTAACTGTCTTACAGAATGCTGCTTTAGTAACTGTCTTACAGAATGTTGCTTTTAGTAACTGTCTTACAGAATGTTGCTTTCAGTAACTGTCTTACAGAATGTTGCTTTTAGTAACTGTCTTACAGAATGTTGCTTTTAGTAACTGCCTTACGGAATGTTGCTGTCAGTAGCTGTCCTACAGAATGTTGCTGTCAGTAGCTGTCCTACAGAATGTTGCTGTCAGTAACTGCCTTACACAATGATGCTTTCAGTAACTGTCTTACAGAATGTTGCTTTCAGTAACTGTCTTACAGAATGTTGTTGTCAGTAACTGTCTTACAGAATGTTGCTTTCAGTACCTGTCTTACAGAATGTTCTGTCAGTAACTGTCCTACAGAATGTTGCTGTCAGTAACTGTATTACAGAATGCTGCTTTTAGTAACTGTATTACAGAATGCTGCTTTTAGTAACTGTCTTACAGAAAGTTGCTGTCAGCAACTACCTCACAGAAGTTGCTGTCAGTAACTGTCTTACAAAATGTTGCTTTCAGTAACTGTCTTACAGAATGTTGCTTTCAGTAACTGTCTTACAGAATGTTGCTGTCAGTAACTGTCTTACAGAATGTTGCTTTCAGTAACTGTCTTACAGAATGTTGCTGTCAGTAACTGTCTTACATAATGTTGTTGTCAGTAACTTTCTTACAGAATATTGCTTTTAGTAACTGTCTTACAGAAAGTTGCTTTTAGTAACTGTCTTACAGAATGTTGCTTTCAGTACCTGTCTTACAGAATGTTGCTGTCAGTAACTGTCTTACAGAATGTTGCTTCTAGTACCTGTCTTACAGAATGTTGCTTTCAGTAACTGTCTTACAAAATATTACCTTTAGAAACCATCCTACAGAATGTTACTTTCAATACAGCTATATAGAATTTTATCCTTTTAACAACTGTCCTACAGAAAGTAACTTCTCGGCAAATTCATCCCCCCCCCCCCCCCCCCGACTTTCTAGCCACACACAAAAAACACGTATGGAGAGGACATATCAATATATGTATGTAAGTTGTACCCCACCAGGACATCACACAAAGCGATAATCACCTGGTGACACAAAATGTCACCATGCTGATGAGGATCACCCATGGGGAAGTTCCAGAAACCCTGTTCAGCCATTAGGCCATATTTATGGCTCAGCTATATTTAGGGCTCCCGGCAAAAGCCAGGATGGGGCTTCAAATAATGAAAAATTGCATCCCATATGGGAACAGCAGATTATTACATGGTGATAGATGCCTGTATGGCTTGGCTACAAGTGGTGGATGTACAAGAACACAGCCCTGGTTCGACTTTAAGTCAACAACCGCATTCGCTTATCAGCATGGCACGCGATGTTGTACAACAATACACAGAGAGCTAGTATTTATAAAGTAACTCAATATTGTAAAATTCATTGGAGACACTGTTCAGTTAATGTTGAGGGATCCCCCAAGGAATAAACCAATAAATTAAATTCCAAATAGAAGCACATTAATTGCATTTCCCGTGAGGGCTTGGGGTTTTAGTTTAATTATCTGTCCCATATCGGAACTGGATCTCACTGCGGCATACCGGGAAATGGGTTTGCTGACAGATTTGCTAAAAATGGAACACAGGACATACAACACGCCTATTCATTGTCATTACCAGAAATCTTAACACTTATCAAGGGAAAATACAAGGAATTGTGGAGAGAACAAACTAACAATAAACATCCACACGACTCTATCAACAAACTTAACAGAAAGCAACATACAACAATTTTCCGTCTACGAACAAGACACTGCAGGCTCAGCAATCTCACGCATAAAAAAAAAGATTGTACAGTCCCCACAGTGTGCCTGTCAGACAGGACCACAAACACCTGAACACATTTGGCAGACCTGCCCACTCTACCTACAACTTTGAAAAGACACCTGGCCTCAAGAGCAAAGTGTGCAGAGCAAGCTATGGGGAACCGTGAAGGACCTGCTTCTGACATGCGAGTTTTTAAAGACAACCCACCTCAAGGTTCGATCTGAGCATAAGAAACTGAACGCAAAGAAGAAGAGAATTGGATCTCATTTCAAATGATCTGAATTTGCTGTTTTATATGTTAATGCAGCTCTGTATATGGACATTTCACGTGAGATTAGGGTCAGGTGCGACCCGCCTGTGTATTGCCCTGAAAATAATGATAAATACAGACAGGAGTTGCAGTTTTGTATCCCGCCATTATATGATTCCAGCGCCGCCCCAGGCTATGGCCTGCCCTTTTTAGGGCAGACCGAGATCCCCACCCTACCTTAAGAAATCAAACTCAGGCGAAAATGGTCGCCACAAAGAAATAAACCAAACTCAGACAGCCAAGAAACCATCCTTGATAAAGCAGGCCTTTAGGTGGCTAAAAAAAGACAGTTTGTCATTTGTGTTTTCTTTTTTCCAAGTTCCAGTTCCGTATGCTTTTTTTTTTAGTATACCCCGGTGGGTTTCATTGTGAAGACATTACAGTAATATTGTGTAGTGCGTTTCAGAAGTCCGGCTAAACTTTGTAAAAATCTTTAACTTAGTAACCGTTTTGTGTAAGTTGTTTAAGTTAGAATGAGGCCTGTTAAGTGTCTGTGTGAGTATTTTTTGTTTTGATATAAACTAACATTTAGCTTCCCTGTTGCCTTATTAATGACACTGATTCATAGTAAACAATCAGCATGCTTACAACATCAGATTGCAGGCGTGTGTCATAAGCGTTCCACTCTCCGGTAATCATATCCTCTGCGAGTTGTGGATTTTTTATTTTTCACAGGCTATAAACAATAATCACAATGAAATGCTGCACATGTGAACTGATTTCTTCTAAACAATTTCCACATGTGTCAATTTATATATATATATATATATATATATATATATATATATATATATATATATATATATATATATATATATAAGAGGCACATAACTTATTAGTCAAACAAAGATCACAGAAATTTGCCGCTATAAGAAAACAGCATCTGCCCAGCTGTAAATAATAGAATCAAAAGGATATGGGAAATTTAAGAACAGATGCACAAATTTGAATTTTCTGAACTTTTCGAGATAATTGTTAAAGTGTGACGGCCTGGGTTTTGAAACGCACTATAGAGTTTGCCAATTTTCGAAGGGGAAAGGGGTGCTCACTCCCTCCCCCAATCACCCTCCAAGCTTATCTAAGGAGGACTTAGCCCCCTACAGTTAGAGAGGGTGGGGTGCAGAGGCTCGGTTTAGCGGAGTCCGCAGGTTTCGTCACCACTGCCTATTCATGACCCATGTCGGAATAGAGGCATTGCAAACGTCGATCGTTGCGGACACAAATAGCATTGGATTATTTACAGCTGTTGTACACGACACATATTTCTGTTTGTGTGAACATGTAATGGGGGGAAACAGTTTGTAACAAACACTTCAATATACGCAAGCTGTGGGGTAAAATGTGGGGTGCAAATTTACAGATCTTATGTCAGTCCAATATACGTTAGAACAGGGGTTCTCAACCTTTCTAATGCTGCGACCCTTTAACACAGTTCCTTGTGTTGTATCGACCCTTTAACACAGTTCCTTGTGTTGTATCGACCCTTTAACACAGTTCCTTGTGTTGTATCGACCCTTTAACGCAGTTCCTTGTGTTGTATCGACCCTTTAATTTTGTTGCTACTTCATAACTTCAGGTAAACCTTTAGGTGGCATCCCAAAGGGGACAAACCGATCGCTCGATCACCGGGGAACCCTTCTGATGATCTGAAACCTCCTGTTCTCGCTCATTCAAAAAGTGTCTACTGCAGTGATTCCAAAACTGTGCACCGCGGCGCCCCTGGGGGGCCACGACCTCTTCACAGGGCGCCGCGAAATGTTCGAATATACACGAGTTTTTTTTTCTTACATACGAATAGTCATACTTTTACTTAGATTAGGGCGCCGTGGAAAAATTTTAATTGAAAAAGGCGCCACGACCAAGAAAAAAATTGGGAAACACTGGGTCTACTGTATATGTCATTAGATGATAGCTTGTACCGCTAATATGATCTTTGAAATCTTGGAGTCTCATTTTAGAGGGCTGAAATGCAGGTACTTCTGTATCTATTTTTTTTTTTTACACTACTTCATTCAACAGTTGCGGGGACAAGGATTCACTGTGATGATTTTTGCTGTCATTGGAATTCTCTGGTTTGTGAAAGAAGTTCACATTTCTCTGGGGTTTTCCCGTTGTGCTGCATTGTTCCCAGTTACGACAGATGTTGTTACAACGATGATATGAGAAAAATTCAGCAATGGATGTTACCGATCCGTCTGAAACTCCAAACTGGGAGTTTATAGAATGAATACTTGGATTTGTAAACGTGTACACTTGTCCGTTACTGACACCCTGCAGGCCGCACACGATAAGGTTTCTGGTAAAATGCCAAGAGAAATGACTAAAGGCTTGAGCGACGCTTGTAGAGTTGGTTCGAGCAGTTTGAGCCAAAGTGGCGCTGTCCCGATTACTGCAGATGTCCTCAGTAACACTTGCCCCCGTGGAATCTTTGTTTTTCAATTTTGCAGTCGTATGAGTAGAAGCACAGGCCACATCTGAGTCGAATTTCTGGAATGGTCCATCGAGAAATGGTTCTATAGTAACAAACTCGCCCAAGTTCAAGCGTTTGTCGTGGGGCTTCACACACCGAAACAAACATGCGAAATCAGACAATGTCTCTATACCGGTGATGACTGGGATCTGAAATGAGACGGCTTTGTAGCCAATATGCTTATTAAACTCCACAGCTAGTCGTTGGGCCTCCGTTGACCTTCTGATCATATTCGACCAGTCATTTTTTTCGGCCACTTTATCCAACATGGCCCTTACCACGCAAAAGCTGCCTCGAAGAGGTCCCTCTCCGTTCATGAGACCTTTGAAGTGAGAATATGTACAGCCTTCATAGAAGGGGAACAGTTCAAAGCTGGCGGAGTATACGACGCCGTTGTTGTCTGGTTCAGATGGTTGGGTCACGTTGTCTCTTTCTAGGAAAAATATTCTCATATTGTTGCTAAAAGTTGCTGAATGTGTGAATGAAAGGTATAGTTATCGTAAGCAACAGGGTTAGCAAGCAGAGTCCTCCTGATTCTTAAAACGTAAGGAGCACCCCAACGAAGACCCCCAAAAATGTTCTTATTTGTGACTGAATATACTAAAACATTAGACCTTGTTCATCACATAAATAACAGAATTATTCGTATTTCCACGAACTTGTCTTTGTCAGGTGAAAATATTCCGTGCGTTTTCGTGCTTCTTTCAGTAAACCGAGCGTGTGCAACTGACCAACTTGTCTCTGATTTTATGTATAATATATTTTAGTATAAGTATTGTAAAACATGTGACTGCGATTTTTAGATGTCAGTTAAAATGATTCATATTTTGTACTTCATTATATGTTTATTTGAATTATATATCATGCCCTAGTGAAATACAACGGAACAAGCCAGATGACACACTGTGCAATATAATGTTTGCGTCATTTAAATTCACAACAGAAAAACGCTGCTTTGAATATCGTTTTCATTTTTATGTCCTGTTTGTTCTGTAGTTAACATCGTTATCTCAATGTGTTTAATCAGCTCAGCGAGGTACGATGTTTTAACAGCATAATCCGACCAAAGACGATATTCCAAGAATCGAATTTTGATTATGCACAACACGAAAGTCTGCAGTGATTAAGCTTCAGTTTTAAAAAGTGAACTGATTCGCTGCTAGCACGCGTGCGCTGCAACTGCTGCCTGTTGTAGCAAATCCGTTATGACAATCACAGTTTCACATATGCGCTGACAAGAGACACTAGCGCCAACTGGACACAAAACACACGTCTCCGTGTTTAATCCGAGCACGGATCTAGCTTGGGTTGCGTCAGTAGTGACATGCATACTTCCCTGGTATTTCCGTTTCAGTTACACAGTTTGCAAATACTGACTTTATCAGTTTTCCCTCCATAAGAATTAATCGTTTGCGTCATGTTTAAATTCATTGTCTTGTTATTTTGGTTCTTCCCGTAATATCTGGAAAGACAAAAAAGAAAGGCAACACGTTAAGGTGAACACTTTAGTGACTATACTGATAAAAGTAATTTTATAGTTTTGTGCAATAGGCATCAAAGTGAATGCAATATCATGGAAGGTGGCTTAACTCTTTCAGTCACACGCAGCTGTAATTTAACTCCTTCTATCTAAGGGAACTGGGCATTGCTAGGATTGCTAGGTAGCAGAAATAAAGCACCGGCTGCAGATGGTGCACAGCGTACACAGTGTAACCAGTCATCTGTTACTCTGCACAATATGGTCACACTAAATAGTTAAGTAATGATAGAATACCGCGAGTTGCGAGGGACTTTAAGGATAGTATCCAAATGTCAAATGTATCAGACAAGTAGTTACATAGTTATTGCGGGTCATCCTCTCCAAACTAATGCACCAACCACTGTACCACAGCGGCTTCATATTTAATAAACAAATCATTATTCAGTAGGTAAGTATAGCGCCGGCCGCATTTGCTTCTACTGATATTTCGTGGTACCAGTTTCAACAAAAAGTGGTTTCCCTCTACGACTGCAGCCTATAGAATAAACATCCCAAGGATGAGAATCAAACCGGTACAAATCCTGGAAACACTGTTCCACTGTATATCCCTATATCCTCTTCATGCAGCAGATCCTTTACAGAAAGCCACTCTCGTCACGGTTAGCCTGAAGGAAACTTGTCTCTCGTCAGCGCTCCCACCGTATGCACTTTCCTATCACTTATCCCCGTGTGGGTTCCGGGGCCCTATCGTAGGGAAAGAAAAATAGACCCACTACCTACCTAAAAGCATGTCGTAAGAGTCGACTAATTGGGAGCTTCTTTCAAAGTCAGATTGTATGTGCCTGAGAGGCAAGGAACCAGCAGTCCGCATAAAATGAGTCAGAACTGTAGAAAGGATGCACACGCAACACTCAGGTTCTGGAACACGACTGCATTCCAGAAATAGATAAACAACCAAAACTTTCCGCCAGAGTTTACAGCTGGTGAACACGAGAAGAAGAAGAAGAAGAATCACTTATATCTAATGCCTATCTTCGTGCTGGTCGACCCCTGTCCATCTTTCCTGATACCACGCCTACTGCTATTATCAGCTCCCTCCACCACGGTGTTTAAAATGGCCAAAGATGCTGACGGGACAAAATGCTGTTTACTAGCCAATTTTCCTTAGTGTTCAGATTTTGTATTGCCAAAAGCACAGTTTGCCAATCCGCCGTGGTGCTTGATAGGGCCAATGTTGCTGTTTGCTAGCCAATCTTCCTAAATGACCCGATTTTGTATTGCCAAAAAGCAGTCTGCCAATCCGCCTTGGTGCTTGATATGGCCAAAGATGCTGCTTACTAGCCAATCTTCCTTAATGTGCAGATTTTTTATTGCCAAAAAGCAACAGTTTTCCAATACGCCGTGGTGCTTGACATGGCCAAAGATGCTGTTTACTAGCCAATCTTCCTTAATGTTTAGATCTTTTGTTGTCATAAAGCACAGTTTTCAAATCCGTTGTGGTGCTTGATTAGCGAAAGATGCTAAAGCGGAGGACAAACCAATGGATAGACGGAACAAGATGCTGCTTAATGTTCATATCGTTTGTAGCCATAAAATACAGCTATACAGGACGCTACAAAGCGATCATAAAGAAACACGTAGTGCCAAAAGCGCCGGGCAATTATAAGGGTCCGTCTCTACAGGGGAATCTAACTAATAACCTCTGGGCCACTGTGTTAGTGAGCTGCCATACATATCCTGCCACACAAATCTAACCAAGGCTGTACAAGCTGGCTGGACGAGGTGGAAACAGGTCTGAGTGTGTTTGTGTGTGTGTGCGTGCGTGCGTGCGTGTGTGTGTGTGTGTGTGGTTCTCTTTAAGAGAAGGAAGTATTTCATTTCGGGATTTCCCCTCGCTTGGTTTCTGCAGATCTGACACGGAAGTATTTTAATGGGGGAGCGAGCGGCTGGCCGAACCGATAAGAACACAGAGCTCTCGTTCGAAAGACCAGGATTCGAATTCTGGGTAAGATTGGGATTTTTTGTTCTGTCGGGGGCAAAGAGAAAATACTGACCTGCGCAGTCCGTGGCGACAGCACTAGCCGTGCGACCCTACACCCCCAGGTTCCCTGCCTTCACCGTGAAATAATAATAAATGTATAAACAAAAACATCTGACCACCAAGCTGTCAACAATGACTCGTCGACCCCAGGAAACTCAAACCCTGTGAACAACAGACACTGTAGACAGACCCAGAAACAAGAACAAATGCGATCCGAAACACCGGCAGCAGTATGATAATATGAATACATCATAAATAAGGAAACGGCAGATTTATTCCATTCTACTACGCCACACAATTTTGTTCATTGAGCGAAAATTGCTACCCCACACAAGCAACAATTACTCACCCACAAGTGGCTATATTATATTTAAAATCAATATTACACACTGATTTATGATATACGAACACACTTTATACATACATTACGAATTAATTATTAATGAATTGTTACTGTTGATTAAAATTAAGCACACGCCTTTATTTACTCACATACATTAAGTGTTTCAATGAATACCCGCCGAAGGTGCGAGGAACAGAGAGAAGGAAATGCTGCAGCTGGAACCAACGCCCGTTACCTGCGTGTGTGTCGGAGAGAATGAGGTTGATCGCACAACACAGGTCAGTTATTTTATCTACCTTTCTCCCCCCCCCCCCCTCTTTTTTTCGTGTGTATGGCAGGCAGTAGGCGAGCACGGTTTTTCTGCTCTCATTTGTCAGGCGTTCAAGGTTTTCCGATATCTGAGGCGCGTTGAGTATTTGTAAGTTCAACCAGTCTGTTACTGGAACAGTCGGCATCTATGTGCTTGGTGGAGATGAAGCATCTGTAGAATGGATATGGTCGCTATTCTTTGATGTTGATTCTCAAATCAGTAATCACTGTTAGTTTTTTTTTTTTTTGTTAGTCTGCACATAATTTTAGCTGGGAGTTCAGTAATAAAACTTAAACTAACTTGGACATAGAAAATAATCAAACTTTAAGAAGCAGGCGTTATGAATAATATTTAGCCTCGTTGTCTCTTTATTCATTGTCATCACGACCTTCCTCAGTAGTATGTCATATCTTCTTCATTTCCTCCGCTTCGGGTGTCGAGGGTTCCTCTTCTTGCTCTTCTGACCACCTCGACCATTTACACATCTTGCTGTTGTAAAGTTTCAATGATGTTATCTGTCCATGTTGTTCTCGGTCTATCTTTTGCTCTTCGTCCATCTCCTTGTTTGATGTGTTCATTGTATGGTATGGCGTCACATGGAATTATCTCCAAGTGGGTAGACCAGTTGATCTGTTTTCTCTTTATGTAATTTAGAATTGGTGCTGTGCCGAATTTTTCTATTATGACTTCGTTCAGGATTTGATTTCTTCTAGTCACTCCTGCAACCCTTCTGAGACATCTTTTTTCGACGGTTATTAGTTTTCTTGTCTGGTTTGTTGTAAGTGACCACGTCTGGCACTGGTAGCACGGGCTTGGAATGGTTATGTGTTTTATCTGATCAGTTTAGCATATGTGTCTACAGAAGGAAGAAAACTGCCTATAACTCGCCGGGTAGGGAGAGAGAGAGAGAGCACGAGAGAACGATATATATATATATATATATATATATATATATATATATATATATATATATATATATATATATAGAGAGAGAGAGAGAGAGAGAGAGAGAGAGAGCGTGTACGTTATTTTCTTTATTTTGAAAGGGTCACAAATTGGGCACACAGACCAGTCTTACATTCGACCCTTCCAAACACTCATTCGTCAGACCATAGAGCCGTAGAGAGAGAGAGAGAGAGAGAGAGAGAGAGAGAGAGAGAGAGAGAGAGAGAGAGAGAGAGAGATAGAGAGAGAGTAGAAAATAGAAAGATGGTGGGGGGAGAGAAAATGAGTCAGTGTGATGGGCAGCATATGGAACCTACAAGCTCACAGTATGTA